ACACACACACACACAAAATCTCATATGAAAAAAATTCTGAACGATCCATGCACCAGACCCTTCAAGGTCACATCGCCTTGATGTTACTAAACAACAACAAAAAAAGCAATTAATATGTCATAGTGGTGGGGGGAGGCCCAGAACCGGCTGTAATCTGTGATGTACACATACCACCTATGCACCAGACATATTTCTCAGGGTCACATGAGTCGGTCTAGGTCATCCACCCCACGTGACGTCATAGTGGTGGGGGGAGGCTTAGAACCGGCTCAAATCTCCTACTACTTTCTTATTGTTTCAATATTTTCATGTTGTATTGTTTCAACTGAACAGTTGAACTTACCGCGATTATTTCAGGTGAACATAATGTTAATTGATTTCATATTATATAATCAAATGGAATTTAATGATAATAATAATAATAATACTGTTTATTCAACCAATTCAAAAAACATTCAAAACTACAATATCGACAATATTGACAAAAAATTCAATACATCATTTAGGTGAGAAGAGTTGGTGAAATAAACGTACGGAACCTCAAAAACGCTCGAGAAAGCTTGTCTTTCAGGAGTTTTAGCTAAACATTTAGTATAATTCAAAACTTTCAGTGACTGAGTAATGACCAAGCACCAACGAAGTGAAGAATATGGTGAATATTACATTGATAGTTTTTGTCCGTATTTACACATATATAAGCACATATATAACGTATACAGTGCATTCCATTTGAATCGAGCCACCCTGAATAACTTTTGGTACAATGATTTTCAGGAAAATTTTATAAAACACGTCAAAAATAGTATTGTAACGAATTAAAGAATTAACTGTCTTAAACAAATTTATTTCCACAATACTTCACTATCACAACTAATTTATTTACACCACTCAGTAAGTAACGCTTAATTTATCTTCACCGTTTGTTAACCGCTCGATTCGCTTTCTTGGTACAGACTACCCTTCGGGACGAAGAGCGACGTTTTTATATTGTCAACGAACGTTCCGGATCCCTCTGCGGATTTCGGGACTCATCCGCATCCTTTCCGCTCTTTCGCGGTATTCCGTCATGCGTCATGCGTCGGTCAGGGCCGGCTTCAGATTCATTACAGTATATATAGGGAGACACACTTTGACGTAATCACATTTGATGTTACTTTCCCTATCACACTCCTAGAGCATGTCACCATTTTTTTTAAATGGATCACCCTATAGGGTTCCGCATTATTAGATGCTCCATGACGAGCAGATTTCAACATAGAATAAAACATATGGTTTGAAGCTTATAGTTCGAGTTATGGATGAGTTGAAAACGAGCCACTCTAAATAACTTTTGAAACAATAATTTGCAGGAGGAAAAATAAAAAACATGTCAACAATTATACAGGAGACCACATTTTGAATTATTCGTTCTAGAGACAAATATTATAGAAGCAATAAATCAGAAAAAATTTTTTTTTAATAATTCTTGAATCAAAATCTGATGACTGGACGATGAGAAGAAAAAAAATTTCTATAGTAAATGTTGAAAAACGTTCCCANTGTTGAATATTACCTTACAAATGTATCCAAAAACACCTTTTACTTAACATATCATTAAGTAATATATTCAAATCATTATGGTTGAACACAATTATGGGGTTACTTTTTTTAAATTGATGGATGTAGCCGTTACTACGTGGTAGGAAATCATAATGAAGAACAGAGAATTGAAACTTTCTATGTTTTTTACCACTTTTATTTGTAACTAACGTTACCGAAGTTTCGTCCTATACAGACATATTCAAACTTAAACTCAAAGTTTAAAGTTTAAGTTAAAAACATAGAAAGTTTCAATTCTCTTTTCTACATAGGGTTATTTTTTCTCTTTCAACTTGTACTCACATCCACAAGCTGTCCGAAACCATTTGGCCAATATTTGATATCGAAGTATGGATCATTGGGATATGAACTTATTGGTCCTCTGTCACCATGCCTATATAACTGAAATTTATTTTGAATCAATAAAAATGGAGAAAAAAACCTAGTAAAATATTCTTCATACTTCTGATAAACATACTTCAAATTCAATAACTAAAGTCAGATGGGAGCTTTCAAAAGTATTGAAGATTTTATTAGAAATGAGTGAAATCATTTATACCGTGTGACAACAAAATCATTGTACATGGCACCATTCAATTATTTGTAGGACAAATTTGGAAGTTTTAAAACAATATATAGGTCGTTGAAGCCGATATTTCTAACAATAAAAAAATCGAAAATCTATACCGGTTCAACCAGTATTGTAATTTTTTCAGGGTTTTTGGCTTAACATAATTCTTATTTTCAGCTATTCTTTTTTAATTTCCATTTTCATTTGTTATTTCAGAGATTTAAAATCATATTAGACAATGGAAGTATTACCCAATGAAATTCACCGTGAAACATTGCCAACCACCTTCAAACAAATATTTGGCCCTCCGGAAGTCGTGACGGATTGCAAAAGACAGCTAATAAGCAACAAGCCATACGTTTTATATTATATGTAATCACAGATTACAGGTATAAGCTTTAGAAAACTTGCCAATCAGAAAAGTCCCTTGTTTCTGCTTCCCTATAATGAAAAGAGCATTCTGGTTCGATATCAGGAAGATCACCTAATTTTGAATACACGGTTAGTTAATGAAAATTAATGAAGCTACCGTGTAGCGAATCGCCATTCGAATAAAATTTATCGTGAAAATTCTATAACTATTATCCAGTCCACAAATAATTGTTCATAAATTAATCAGTCTTTCAGTGTTTCCATTGTTTTCGCTACATAACATATACTTAAATAAAAACTTTTTTCGTGGTTTGTTTCAGCGCCACAAAGATACAATAAATGATTAGAAATAATAATTCATTTTTCCGAACTCTTCTTTCTTATCATTTGAATTCTCTTATTTCATTTCATTTTTAACCATATAGATAAATGAACCATAACTCATAACCTATAACTTTGCAATCCGTCATGACCCAAAAGAAATTGCACAATTGTGCATTGTGGTGTAAGTTTCGCCTGTAGTCCGACCAATTTATTAGTAAATACTGGCTATTGCGCTATGCTTAGTTTGCTGACATAACGTATTCAAAAAACACTTTATTGTGAGATTTTCACTAAAGAATTTAACAAAAACGCAACACGTGTTTCGCCATACAATGGCTTCTTCGGACATGTCTTTACTTACTATATTCTACATATTCAATGCTTAGTATTATTGGTTTTAAGTTGATGAATTCTTCTGAATGCCTTGAATTTGTGTTTTTTCAAAATCTTCCTAACGTTATTGCTTGGTAGGCCGGTTGATATTTTCAAATTTCGCGTTGACATTTTGGGATTATTTTCAACAGCACCTTAAACGACTATTTTTCCCAACTCCTTATCCCTATTTCATTCATATTATTTTGGCCTTTTCTTTTCGAATTCTTGCGAAAATGTTCTCATCCTCCATAGCCTACTTGATCAAAGTGTGCGTTTCAAAGTCTACATGAAAAAAACCTAAAAGCTCCGTATTTCAAAGATGACTCTAGCAGAATATCAAGTGTGCTAGATTTTTGGAAAAGCAGTTTTAAGCTGTATTGAAATATGCAGGAATATACAAAGTGTCTCATTGAAAAATAGTTTTCCATCAATAACTATTGATATCTCATTTGAAAGAATAAGTTATTCGCATTATTGAATTCTACGTAAATAGTGTTTTGAAACTGTTTTCAAAAAAANAGAGTACCAAAAAGCCATTTGGAAGTTTTTCCCACTAAATTCAACAAACCGCGCTTCGAACGCTTTTGAGGTTCAATATTATTAATTTTGTTTTCTACTTCTAGAATAAGATACTCGGCGTGTTTCAGTAGATTGGACAAAAGTGTTTGCGGAAGGTTAATTTTGACATTTTCTACTATTTCATCTATTATTTCATGATGGGGCATTTGCTGATTAGATTTCGCTACTTGATGACTTCTAACGTGGTCGGCAATTTTATTATAAAAGGATCGTAGATTTTTTAGTTGATTGAAAATTGGGGATATTTCGACAAAATGGATGAAGGTGTGTTTGGTTTCGATTAGTTTGGAAGTTCCAAGGTGGAAAGGGAGCAAAGGAGTTTTCAGTGGTGAGACTTTTATGTCACTGGTTGCTATTCTGGACGTTGTTAGGAGTATGGCTACACGAAGCAATGGCGGCATCAGTTTCATTGTCCTGTGAAAGAACAGATACTTTTTTGGGTCTTTTCATTTGTGATTTGTGTACAAGTTTGTCTTTTGTCGTCTGTATTTTACTCCCTAGGTCTTCAATTACTGTTTTCTTTCTATAGCGGGGTTTACTTTTACTTCTGGATGCTGTTTTATCTTTGACAAATGCCGTGGTTCCAGGTTGGAATTCGGGCGGTTCTTCACGTTTTTCATTTTGTTTTTCGTTAAGTTTGGTCTTGTGTTTCAGTGAGGTTTCATGTATTTTTTCAAAAAGGATTTTTAGTCCTTTTCGACGGTCGATTATATACTGTTTCATTATAATTTCGTCAGACATATCAAATGGGTCTAGAGTGTCAAGTCGACATGATAGGAATCAGATTCTTTTTGATTGAATATAACCTGATTAGTAAATTTATTGATGCAATGCTCAGTTATTTTCATTTCGAGTATTGAGTTTTCTATTGCAGAGTGGACGGTTTCACCGTCGTCGTTGTCAGGTGGCGGTGTTATAATACGAGGGGATGGATTCTGATTAAAAGGGGGTACTATTTGAATATCAGATATTATGTTTATTTTCTTGTTACGTCCAACGGTTGTTCAGAGTTTAGATATTGATTTATATCATCATCTATGTCTCCAGGATTGGGTAATATTGATTTCCTGACAATTTGATTTATTTCTACCCTTGATAAGGCATCGTCGTTTGTATTTTGTTTTCCCTTTTTGTACATTATCTGATAGTCGTACTCCTCAAGTTTCAGTCTCCATCTCACTAAACGCGAGTTTGGTTCTTTTAGACTGAAAAGCCATTGGGGGGTTTATGGTTGGTAAATATGGAAGCGGATATCGATCATCGATGGTCTTTTCGTTTACCTTCCGGTAATCGACTACGATACGCCATTTTTGTTTGCCACTGGCGTCCAAATTTTTTGGGACGACTCCATGGACTCTGGCTTGGTCTTATGATGCCATCGTCTAGCATCTTGTTGATTTGTTTTCGCACTTTCTCTTTATGTACGAATGGATATCTATATGACTTTGTGTACACAGGAATTTCATCATGGGTTTTGATGACATGTTTGATTTTATTTGCGATGGTTAGTTTTTCATTTTCTTTATGGAACATGTCTGAAAATTCTCTGCAAAGAGCTACTAGAGCAGAGTGTTCTTCGCTATTCAAGTGGTCCCAACGAAAGTTTTTTCGCTAAGGGATTCTACTTCCGAATTTTTGAAATGAAATAAATGAAAAATTTCTTTTTGATTATCGGAAAAAGGAAAACCTTTTATTGGTTCATTGGAAGTTATTGAAATTGATTCGTCTGAGTAATTGTGAATTTCGATTCTAGCTAATCCATTTTTTACTGTCGTAAGTGTTTCAGGGATGAATATATTTTGAAAATTGCATTCGGGTATCAAAACATCATCAGAATATTGAGAAACAGGGACTTCCACTGAGACAATTTCCTTGGCATTGATAGTTACGCTGTAAGCTTCCTTATTTGGATTTCTAAACAGTATTGGAATTTTAACTTTTTCGTTAACTAAACAATTTTGAACCAAATCTACACGAAAATTCATTTTTTGTAGTTCTCCCAGGCCCAAAATACCATCGAAGAATGAATGAAAATCAAATAGAATGAATTTTATTATTTGGTCTGAATTGAGTTCTTTAAAAGACCTAACATCAACTTTGAGTCTAACTTCCTTTTCACCTATACCTGTTTTNTTCACTCTTTGAGAACTCTTTCATCTGCGGTCGGTAGCCAGGCGGTTCGACGTGGGTGCTTTGTTCACTCACTCGAATTGACTGCGGTGTTGGTCGGTGGTTCAAGCCCCAGTCAAGCCCTAGTCATCGTTTTTGAAGTTCAACTCAGTTTACCTCGAACTTCACTCTTTAAGAACTCTTTCATCTCCGGTCGGTAGTCAGGTGGTTCGACGTGGGTGCTTTGTTCACTTACTCGAATTGACTGCCGTGTTGGTCGGTGGTTCCAACCCTAGTTTGAACGATCGAATTTCACTTGCTATCGTCCAGCCCGTGTTATAAATCACACGTTAAAAGGTAAGGCCTCGTTAATCCTTAGCTCGCACAAGTTTCGACTTCAGAGGATTATCGTTCGTAGGGGTGCGACAGCTGGTTAACGGAAAAACAGATTTTTTAAACAGATCTAGAGAACAGCGTTCATGTGGAATAAACTTCCTGAGAACTTTTTTCCAAATGGATTTGATCTCCAGCGATTCGAATCCAATGTGAATCGTTACTTTCGCACAGGCACCGCTCTACGAGCGCCTTAAGGATTTTTCTATATTGCTCGTGTTTTATCCTTGACAAAAAAAATCAGAAAATTTCCGGAGAATTATAGGTCTGTCTCAAAATTATTTTTCTGAAGTCGGTATTACTGTATCACTGCTCAACTGATTTCGATCTTACGTGAGTAACCGGTTTATATTGGAACTTATATCTCAAACTCAATTTGCATACCCCAGGGATCTCATTTGGGTCGACTGCTTTTCAACATTCACATAAATGATATTTCAGAATGTTTCAAGATTTCCAATTTCTTCATGTATGCTGACTATCTGAAAATATTCAATTCAGTCTCTAATTGAAATGATTCTCTGATAATACAATAAGATCTAAACAGGTTTATGAAGAGAAAATAACGCGATTTACCCAAGTCTTCACAAATGCGATCATATTACATATTCCGTCGAAATAATCCATCACAATTTGGCTTTACATTAGGAAACCATCATCTCCAAATATGTAATGAAGTAAAGGACTTGAAAATAATATTTGACTCTAAATTGATTTTTGATAGGCACATATCTTATATTACTCAAATAGAATGCTTTATTTCATCATAAGGGCAAATGATATAAATATATCGCCGAGCTTTGCCGCAACTATTTAGAATCATATTTGGAATGTTCATGGAAATGTTTTAAAATAAAATAGAACCAAAGTATTTGACAAAAAAAGCGCATTTCTCTTTTCATTCCGATTCACGATTTTTTTTGTGGTCGACTATGTTACCCAAGCAACAGAGAGTATTTATTGTGTTAGCTTGACAGCTGTCACTATCGATACTGATATCGATATCGATACTCATTTCATTTATATTTTCTAAAAGATTCGCACTAGACCTTTCCAGAAGCAATACTAAATAAGACCGCGGCCGGCCGTAATTTTCATGAGTNTCCTCAAAGATTCTAAAATAACCGTACACTATTTCAAAAAAAAGCTATCAACTAAAAATGAGTTTTTTCTTATGTTCATTTTACATTTCAGAAGTTTTCTCAATAAACGAAGAAAATCATTGAAAACTTTTCGTTTTATGTAAAAAAGTGAAGGTTCGCGCCATCTATTGATCAATAGCAAAAACACATCAGAGTAAAGAGAATCACAAAAATAGATTCTCAACATTGTAATCAAGCAGGTGAATATTTTGATATGCAAACAAGGCAATAGAGGGATGGTGTTTAAAGTTAAACATTCCATAAGGAACATTGTCAATCACTTTCAAATATCCTATCCTTAAATTTCAGTATTTTGCGGCAGTAAAATTATATATGGCAACACATATGACCTAAGGAGGTTATTAATTCAAACATGCTATAACGCAAACTGTGAATCAGATTTCGGAATATTGAAAAATATTGTTACTTTCATCATTTACAGTGATTAAATTATGGCAAGCGTTATCTATTAGCAGAACAATTCGATAAATAAATTATTTGGACTCAACAGATAAGAAAATATGTATTTTGAAATAAAATTTTCAAACATTCTTTTCCCCCAGTCGGAAAACAACTGCTTTTCCGGCTAATACCACGCTGGATATTGAATTATATTCAGCAGACATGTATCCAAGATATCTCACATAGATTAGTCTTGCAGATGTTTTTCGTTCAACCAGCAGCAGGACCATGCTAAAGTAAATCGGGTAGATCACCTACAGGCTGGTTTGGATATATTACCTCCCGTCAC